CAAACGCCCCCAAACCTTGATACACAGCACGTGTGTCCCCGCGGCCACCAGCTCCTGTCCAAATCCCATTCCAAATCCCATTCCAAATCCCCCAAATCCCATTCCCAATGTCCCCAGACCTTGATACACAGCACGTGTGTCCCCGCGGCCACCAGCTCCTGTCCCAAATACCCCAAATCCCCGTTCCCAATCCCCCAAATCCCATTCCCAATGCCCCCAGACCTTGATGCACAGCACGTGTGTCCCCACGGCCACCAGATCCTCTCCCAAATCCCCCAAATCCCATTCCCAATGTCCCCAAACCTTGATGCAGAGCACGTGTGTCCCCGCGGCCACCAGATCCTCTCCCAAATCCCCCAAATCCCCATTCCCAATCCCTTCAGGAACCCAAATCCCATTCCAAATCCCCCAAATCCCATTCCAAATGCCCCAAATCCCATTCCCAATCCCCCCAAAACCCCTTCCAAGACCCCCCAGACCTTGATGCACAGCACGTGTGTCCCCGCGGCCACCAGCTCCTGTCCCACTGCCCTGTCCCAATGCCCCAAATCCCATTCCCAAATCCCCCAAATCCCATTCCCAATGCCCCAAATCCCATTCCCAATGCCCCAAATCCCCGTTCCCAATGTCCCCAAACCTTGATGCACAGCACGTGTGTCCCCGCGGCCACCAGCTCCTGTCCCAATTACCCCAAATCCCATTCCCAATGTCCCCAGACCTTGATGCAGAGCACGTGTGTCCCCGCGGCCACCAGCCCCCGTCCCACTGCCCCAAATCCCCATTCCCAATCCCTTCAGGACCCCAAATCCCCATTCCCAATCCCTCCAGGACCCTAAATCCCATTCCCAATGTCCCCAAACCTTGATACACAGCACGTGTGTCCCCGCGGCCACCAGTTCCCGGGCCAGCCCCAGGTAGTAGTCCAGGCTGTATTTGGTGCGGGCGGGGTCGGCCACGTCGCCCGTGTAGGACAGCGCGGCCTCCACCACGGCGCCGGCGCCGCCCGCCGCCTCCACGCCCAGCAGGAGGTTGGGGACGTAATTGAGGGCGTCGAAAACGCGGAAAATGTCCATCCCGTTGGCCACGGCCACCTCGCAGAACC